AAAGGCACCACGGCATACCAAACATAAGGCTTTCTTTTTAATTACACAATGCAAGGCCGAGGACAAAACTCATTTGTAATAACAGGTTTACCAGGCCCAAAAGGGGAACAGAGTACTTCAAAAAAGACTGAACAGATGTTCTATTCCAATTTGAAATGAACTCACTCAACTCACTGAGTCTGTACAACACCAGATAAAGGCAGAACTCCTACCAGGTACATTTCCCAGCCTCTGATCCAGCTGAAACAAAGATAATATCTCCCACTTTCAGGTCCCTAGTAAATGTCGGGTCACAACATCAAACTTGATAAAGAGGAGTTATTTCCCAGTATTCCACTGTTAGTTAAATCCTGAACCAATAAGAACATAAGAAATTTTAGATGAAAAAAGACCAAGGTCCATCTAGTTCGCCTTCCATCTTCCTAGCGGTCACATAATAATAATAATAATAATCCTTGCATTTGATATAGCGCTTTTCGCGTCGGGAGGACGTCCCAAAGCGCTTCACAGAACACACTGTAAAGTGAATTGACTGTATATTTGTGGGCGAACGCGGCAGCCAATTGCACACAGCAATGTCCCACAAACAGTCGTAGACTGAAAATGACCAATTTATTATTGTTTTTGGTTTTTTGGAGGGATTATTATTAGGCTCTGTGTGGAGTAAGGAAACTTGCCCAAGGTTTCGCCCTCTGCCTGGAATTGAACTCACTCAGGTCTCTCGCTTGCAAAGTGAGTGCTCTAACCACTGAGCCACAGGACTCCACATGTACATATGTCCCAAACTCCCTAAGTACTATATCCCATAATGTTATTTCTTAAAAGAAAAATAGCTAATCTGTGTTTGAAAGAATCAACACTTCCTGCTTCAACCGTCTCCCTAGGGAACCTGTTCCACAGGTTCACTACACACTCACTGTAATAGTTTGCATAGACTTGTTCTAAATTTACCCCCTTCAATCGCAGAGGCCGTGTCCTCTGGTTTTACTGTTCTGGACAAGTTGAAACAGCCTGTCGTGATCTATATTGTTTTGCCCCTTTAGAATCTTAAAAGCAACAATCACGTCGCCTCTCAGTCTTCGCTTTTCCAGTGTGAACATGCCCAATTTACTTAGTCACTCCTCATAGTCCAGGCCTTCCTTTTCCTCAATCATTTTGATAAGAGGTTTAATCCTTTAGATATCTCAAATTAAATCTCTGCTGCAATGTAGAAAATACACATATGTGAGGGATTAGAATAAAAATATAAGTTTAGAGTGAGAGGATGGTGCTTTTGTTGATCCCAAACCCCTATCAGAATTGGGTTCCGAGTTGGAATTGACCTTATAAAATCTTACAGCACAGGAGGCCATTCAGCCCACCATGCCTATGCCGGCTCTTTGAAAGAGCGGCCAATCAGTCCCACTTCCCCATTCTTTCCCTATAGCCTTGCAAACTTTTCCTTTTCAAGTATATATCCAATTCCCTTTATACAAAGGGACTAAAGTCTCCTTCTCTACTGGCCAACACCAGAACACCATCACACTGAAACCAGTCAATACTGGCTGCAGTTTGATCAATGTCAATGTCTAAAGTGTAAAAGGATTTTTGAGCTCCACTCTCCATTGAAAGTATAGCTTTGTTTAAAGAGGTTGGGATTTTGTGGAACACCAGTAATCACCTTAGTGCAGGTCTCCAATGTAAGTATGTTGCACAACAACAATAATCATATTTGATATGGTGCTTTTGAACTCTTTCTCCCAATCCCTCTGCCCTGCCCCCTCCTTCCCCTCTTTTAGATCACGATTGAAGACCTCCCTCTTCTATCTGGCTGTCTGTTCAGGTGAATGTTAAAGATAATAATAATAATAATCCTTCCATTTGATATAGCGCTTTTCACGTCTTCTCGATGTCTCAAAGTGCTTCACAGAATAGACTGTAAAATGAATTGACCGTATATTTGTGGCCGATATCAAGATACCATGGAATAATTCCAAAAATGTTTCTCCCGGTGTCCCAGCTGACAATTCTCAGATAAGATTGGTTATTAAAAAGCTGACTGAGGGACACTGTTGTGCACACGTTCACCTACAAAATAGTCACTATACTTTACAGTATATCCGTGTGAAGCTTTGAGATGTCGCCCAGCATGAAAAGCACAATATCAAACGCAAAGATTATTCTTTTTGTGCAACATACTACTTTACATTGGAGGCTTGCAATAAGATGATGATAATAATCATGATGCATTTGATATAGTGTCTTATGTTTACTAGACGTCTCAAAGCGCTTCACAGAATATACTGTAAAGTGAATTGACTATGTTTTGTGGACGAAATGCGGCAGCCAATTGCGCACAGCAGTGTCCCACAAACAGTCGTGGATTGATGATTACTGGGGGTTCACAAAATGCCAACCTGCTTAAACAAAGCCACAACGGCCTATGCATATGCACAGGCGGCTATCTGGCTTCCTACGCGCCAGCTAGTTCCCACGCAAAAAATATAGCCAATTTCCAGGTCATCAGGTGCTGACGATATCGTATCCAATGAATAAATTTGTCTAAATTCCCCTCTGGATAAGCCTTTTAAAATTATGACAGAATCTTCTATTACTCATACACAGTAAAACTCACACAAGTCTGATGTATAAATCGTATAATTGTATAAGTCAGGACAGTCCAACCTTTTGGCTGCTAAGGGTCAGATGCCCTATTTGAGAAAAGTCTGTGGGCTGCATAAGCAATACTTTTGTGTTTCCCTTCCAGAAACATAAGGTTTCATAAAATTATACAGCACAGAAGGAGGCAATTCAGCCCATTGTGTCTGTGCTGGCAATTTACGGGTTATTGAGGGAGCGAGTGGGCCAGATGAAATGGAAATAGGAGGCGGGAGGAGATGAAATCGGTGCAGTTTATATTCTATGCAGGTTTGATATAACTCTTACTTTGCATAAATCATATTAAATGTATGGTCCCAATTGATAGGACATATATGTGAGGTTTATTTTATACAATAGCTAAACATAAAACATATAACTAGACATTTAGAAGGCAACACTGACCTATATAAAAACAAAACCATATACACTTTAGTCACACTGACCCAGGTGTCAAACTACCTCAGTCCCAGAGGACGCTTCCAAGAGCTGAAAAAAGTGCAATACAATATCAACGAGTTTGCATTCCAGGAATCTGTGACCTCAGCAAATGCACTATATCATAGCACATGCATTTAAGAAAGTAATACTTTATGCTGTTACTTTTATAGTAAGATGCCAGATTATTCATGATTCAACATTAAGTAAAACACAATTGCAATGCAACTCTAATACTACTTAAGAGGGTATAAAGAGAGCAAGAGACTTTTTTTGGGGGTGGAGCTGGGTGGTTGGTGACTACCTGAGATGAAGGAACAATTGCAATTCAGTTCCCTCTAAATATTTGTGTCCATCAAACAATGATTGCTGAAATAAATGACCTTTTCATTTTTATGAGAGGGAGATCCCATTGTAGAGATATAACAAACAATCCCTGCTTTTAGTGATAAACATGTCGCAGATAAACACTAGTTTACTGAAAACAAAATTAAATTTAGACAATTCTGTGTCACTGAACCTGAGGAATGATTTAAATACTACCACAAACGGAAATCAAGAATATGTTACAATTGCTGAATTCAGTTACAAAACACTGCCAAATTACAGAAGTGACTTCATTATTGAGATAGGAACATAGGAACAGGAGTAGGCCATTCAGCCCCTCAAGCCTGTTCCGCTATTCTATTAGATCATGGCTGATCTGTACCTCAACTCCATTTACGCGCCTTTGCTCCATGTCGCTTGATCCCCTGACCTAACAAATATCTATCGACTTCTCTAGTTTCTCTAAACAATGCACAAAAGCTACCGGCATTGAAGCCTTATAGCCCTTGACTGCATTGAACCAACCATGTTCGGGGTTTCATCCCAATCTATTTTGGTCGGAAAGCTCTGCTGTAGGAAAGATGAAAGGGAAGAGACCAAAGCAGCGATATACGTTTTATATGTTGCCTTTTACATTCAGAGTTCAGCTCAGAGCGTTTCACACAAATTACAAGCCTGAGCTGGGAGGGGATGGGTGGGTGGGAGGTAAAGAGGGGAAAGGGAGAGGGGAAAGGTGAAGTGCAGTCAAAGAGATAGGTTTAAAGGGCGGAGGGAGGGGACAGGGGAAGAACGGCTGAAGACTTGCCCACTAATAGTGGGATGAAGCAGGCAAGCAGCAGGCAGCGGGCCAGGATTTACTGAGCAGAGGATGTGGTCCGTGCATTAGGAGATCACAGAGATAGACTGGTGCAAGCAATTCGAAGTAAAGACAAGAATCTTGATTTTGATCTGCTGGGGATTGGGAAGCCAAACAAAGATAATAATAATGATAATAATCCTTGCATTTGATATAGCGCCTTATCAGGTCATTGAGACATCTCAGAACGCTTCACAGAAAAGAATATAAAGCAGATTTGCTGTGTATTTTGTAGGTGAAATGGCCTTGCGGTGACTGGTGCAAGGAAGTACATGCGCTGGAGAAGTCTGGATGGTCTACAGTTTGTTTAGGGAGTTGGGGAATTTGGCAAGCAGGGTGTTGAGCCTGGAATTGATGAAGGGGTGGACGAGGTTCTCAGTTGTCTGGGGGAAAAGGTAGTGGCGAATCCAGGTAATGTTGTGGAGAGGAGGGAAAGCAGAGCTGATGAGGATCGAAATGTAACAATTTGGAGGGTAGTTGGAGATCAAATGGGCCCCAAGGTCCTGCACTGGCTGCGTGTCTATGAGGTCAATGCTGTCAACGCCTGAGGTGAGAAGGCATCAATAGTAGACACTCAGGAGAGCCTCAGTCTCGTCAACAGTGAGCTGTAAAGATAGCGCTCACCAGGCCTTGACCGCAAAACATTTGCTGCAAAAATACATTTTGACTTTCAGCGAGTAACATTAAACAGCAGATAACGTACAGGAATAAGATCTTTTCAAGACAGAACACAAAAACTCACCGCTGATATTCAGATCATAATCTCCTGCTGTAATCACATTAGCAACCAATCCTTCTGCAGGCTGACTAGCAGAAACCACATCATTCAACAGCTTTCGAATGGCTGCCTGTTGTGGTGACTGTGTAACAATACCGGTAACGCTGATCTTCAGGTTTTTAATTACATGGAGCTGATTGTTAGGATCCCGCATGTGAACTGGAAAGGAAAAGAAACAGAAATCAAACAGATTAATGCTAAAGTTCATTTTATTTATGTTTTATGCTTTAATTCTGAAATTAAAGATACTTATGGTTCACTGAGTTTGTTAATAATAATCCTTGCAGAGGCGTGTGAAGTAAAGAAATGTGCCTAAGGTTTTGCCGTGCCCTGATATCGAACCTGCATCATCTCGCTTGCGAGGTGAGTGCTTTAACCAATACGCTACAGGACTACAAAATGGATCTAATCGCAAAATATGCACAAATATAAACAAAATATTCCCAACTCCACCATCCAAAGGCTGCAGATAATCCAGAACTCTGTAGCCCGTGTCCTCTCCCACAACAAACTCCGTGACCCCATCTCCCCCACTCTCGACCGACTCCATTGGCTCCCTATCCTTCAGAGGATCCAGTTCAAGATCCTGGTCCTCACCTACAAAGCCCTCCATGACCTTGCCCCACCCTACCTCTGCAACCTCCTAACCCCCTACCAACCCACCCGTTCCCTCCGCTCAGCCGGCTCTGACCTGCTCCACGTCCCCCGACCCACCCGCCCCACCATTGGCGGGAGAGCCTTCAGCCACTCTGCCCCCAACCTCTGGAATTCCATCCCCCAGTCACTCCGCTTCGCCCCCTCCTTAGCCTCCTTCAAGTCCCGCCTCAAGACCCTCCTCTTTGACTATGCCATCGGCCACCCCTTCCCCCTCCCTGACCCTAGCTCAGGTCTGAAATGCTGTACTCTATCCAGCGCCTTGATACGTCCTCCCGACGTGAAAGGCGCTAGAGAAATGTAATCTTGTTGTTGCTGGTTACGTTCTTGACATTGTGCATTAAGTTTGGCTTTGACAGGAAAATAAAACAGAATCATCAGCAGCTACAAAAATTTCAGTTTCATTTTACATCCTGTTCCTCCCCACCCCCACCAACTAGCTACGATACAAAATCTTTTGTTTCAATCCTTTAATTTTATAGTATTTTTAAATCTTCAAAACCACAAGCATTGATTCACTCCTACAAACACTCTTATTCTTTAGGCTGTTAACCAGTACACTCGATCCATCAGTAACATCTTACTGTTTTGTCCCATCTATGATGTTATTATGTCAGTCGCCCTTCTAGATTTTCACCAATCAAGTGTCATTTTTTTTAAAAAACAAGTGACTTTAAAATAGGTATATGGGAACCGAAAGCGTATAGTGGGGGAAAGGAATAAGATGTACAATAAAAGGAATAAGATGTAGATGGACAGACTTGGGTGGCAAAATAAAGTTAAGATATAAATAATACCGATGAACAATGATAGTTTTATAAAGACAATTTAATAGTTTAATAAGAGGGCCAGGCTGGCTTCATTGGCAGGACCTGGGAGGGCATACCAGTCACCAGTCCCTGGAGGCAGGGAATCCTCCCACTCAGCTCCTGTTAACTCTGCAAACCAAAGCCCTAACAGGTAGGGTCATCCTAGCTGGTCTTTGCCACGTTTTACCCACAAAATACACAGTCACTTTACAGAATATTCTGTGAAGCGCTTTGAGATGGCTCAGCGACATGATACGGCGCTATATCAAATGCAACAATTCTTATTAATAAAAATACAAACTGGGTGCTCATTAGCTTGCAAAGCTTTGAGTTCATGGGACCTCATGTTTCTTTTAAAAAATATTCCACACCACTGATAAGAGGCTTAGCTCACTGAGCTTTCACAGTGCTGAACGATGGAATCTCAAAATTTTAATTATCGAAAACGCACAGGGTTTGTTGACCTTGGAATCTGTCCTCACCCCAGTTTTGTTTAAACTTCACAAAGACAAATGTTGGATATAAAGATATAAATTTATATTGAATGGATGGTGCTTTCGGTTGAACACGAACCCAGCTCCTGCCTGCTTCATGTCCCTCGCCCTAATCTCCCCGTCATCAGCAGGTGGGTTTTCAGTTTACCTGCCCCACTCTCTGGAACTCAACAACAACAAATCACATTTGTACGGAGCCTTTCACTTCAGGAGGATGCCCCGAGGCCCTGGACAGTCAAGGATTCGCACCAGACCTAGGGGTTGGGATCAGGGGTGGAGGGAGAGCAGGAAGGGTGGTGGTGTCAAGCACCTTGGGACATCCTCCCGACGTGAAAAGCTCCATATAAATGTCAAATTGCATTGTATTTCTACAGCATCAAATACAGCAGGTGGCAACTGGAGTGCACATTAAAGAATTAGTTAATTTAGAAAAACCCTCGAGCATGAATAGAGCCAAACTTTAGTTCAGCTCCTCTTCCTAAACAGTCATTTTTGTAATTTTAAACACTAACCACCTGTGCGATCTACATAAATCTGCCGAATTCTGAGTCATTGGAAAAAATGTTGAGGCTAATGAAAGTACAGACAACTTTCCTCCCATCAGATTCAAACAAAGGTAAAATATATGAAAAATCTCTCCACTCAATAATGTAAATGAAACATCTTTTAAATTTTAAAATATTAAGGTTCACCCTTAAAATGCACAGGCACTTACCAGTATATTCTGTGAAGTGCTTTGCCACGTCTTAATTACGTGATAAGGCATTACATCAAATGCAAGTATTATTATTATTATCTTCAAAACAATAGCCATGTTGCAAACCTATTTGTAATACTATCATAATCTCACCTAGTAAACAGCAAGGCCATGTTTCCAACTAAATTGCAAGCAACATGTCAAACATATGATCTGACTGTGGATTTGGCTACCCTGCAATATCACTTTTTTTGCCTTGTATTCTCAAGTGAAACACACGCCACACGTATCCATCAAACCCAGGGAACACTAAAGACTAAAGTTCCAATCACTCTAACTTGCAGGTTAGAGGACCCTTTCCAGAATGTGCAGTTCTGAAGAAATACTATGTGGTCAGCAAAAATTACACATTTGAAAGTATATTTCAAACAAAGCCATCCAAGCAGCTTTTAGAAGCACAACAGTTAATATCTACGGAGACGTCCAGAAGACGTGAAAAGCGCTATACCAAATGTAAGGATTATTATTATTATTATCATCATCAAATGAAAGGATTATTATATCTCAAATGTAACAAATTGGGGGAAAAAAAGTTGTAATTTATTATGGTGGGGGTGTTTTTTTTTAAATCAACACTAGTTTCATCCACTCAACCTTCAAGACCAAAAGAGATCTAAACGGGTAGTAGGGAAGGAGAAAGAGAGGATAATGACATACTCAGTTTGCTGGGAACGACTACAATTTTTTGTGTTTCCAAAGAATCCAATTTATCCAAGAAAAGGTTGTCAAACATTTTAGTTACATTTGGACCTCAGGTTCAGGATGATACAAAACAACAAACACCAGTCTACCCCAAAGTTGTCTCTGCCTCAATTCAATCACTGAGCTGTATTACATTACACACTCTTCTTGGCCAAAAAATGAACAACAATTTGCATTTATATAGCGCCCTTCATGTGTGGTATTGTGCCAGAGTGCTTCACAGTGGTTGAGTCTGACGACGAGCCAAAGTGAGAGGAAAGGGAGGAGATGACTGTAAGCACGATCAAAAAGGAAGGTCTTTAGGCAGGATTTGAAGATGGGGAGGGAGGGGGCAAGGTGGAGGGATTGAGGGAGAGAGTTGGATTCTGTGTATGGTGGAGCTGGGGAGACCAGCGAGGAGAGCATTGGAATAGTCCAGCCAGGAAGTGACGAAGATGTGGTCGAGGGCTTCAGCTATGTCATTTATGGAGGTACGGACAGAGGCAGGCAATATGACAGAGGTGGAAAAAAGTGCTCCTGGTCAGGGAACGGATGTGTGGTAGAAAGAAAAGCTGGGGATCGAACCTGACGCCCAAAGTTGCACACGGGTTCAGAAAGTCTGAGGGAGCGCCTCAGGAGGTTGAGGAATTCAGATCCACAAGAGAGAAGACGTTGACGAACACCATTCTACGCCAAAGTTGTCTCTGCCTCAATTAAATTCACACACTGAGTTGTATCACATTACAAACTCTTCTTGGCCAGAACATCAAGTAACCGGAGAGTCTACAGTCATTGATAGGAACCAGATGCAAATCAGCTGATTTGCAGTGTTTTGAAAGCTGTTTTAAGTGAGACTTCTCAATCCAAACTGACAACAGTAAACAGTGCTGCTGCCGTTTTTTTTCTGTGAATCATCTGAACATTTAACATCAGCAGCTGTAGCACAAAATTGCTTCAGAGTGCATTATAATATTCCTTGCATTTTATATAGAGTCTTATCAGGTCATTGAGACGTCTCAAAGTGCTTCACAGAATATACTGTAAAGTGGATTGATTATGTAGTTTAAGGATGAACCGCGGCAGCCAATTGCGCACAGCACTGTCCCTCAAACAGTTGAGGATTGAGTGACCACTTTTTTTTCTTTTGAAGGGATTATTACCCCCAGAAAGCAATCTGCCAAACGACTAACAACCGTGTTACTACTTCTGCTAGCTAAACGGAGGCGTGTGGAGTAAGGAAACTTACCTAAGGTTTCGCCCTGCCTGGGAATCGAACCCAGGTCCTCTCGCTTGCGAGGCGAGCACGCTAACCACTACGCTACAGGACTCCAAATAACATGGTCTCTAAAGTCATGATCTGTGAATTGTTTCCAATTTCTAGCAATGTGAATAAATCATGCTACATTCCCTGGCTTTGATGAGCCATTTTATATCTATAGAGGAAATGAACATTGGAATGCAAACTGTTGGAAGTCCATTACAGATGGCCTATCTCTTGTCTGGGGGAATATACTGGATTCACATTTAACCAACCATTAACAGGCAGAGACAGGAGAAATTATAATGGGGAATAAAGAAATGACAGAGTCACTAAACAAATACTTTCCTTCTGTCTTCACGTTGGAAGATACTAAAAAATTACCAGAAATAGTGGGGAACCAAGAGACTAATGTTAGTGAGGAACTTAAAGAAATTAATATCAGTAAAGTAATAGTACTAGAGAAGTTGATGGAACTAAAAACTGATAAATCCCCTGGACTTGAT